GCACAGGTGAAGAAGAAGAAGACGGAGCTGTGGTTTCTGGTCCATTTCAATTCAGAGATCAAACACCACAATAAAAAAATATAAATATATATTTGATAAAAGTCCCTGAAAACAAACTCTGGTTCAACCTGGAACATGGACCTGATCACTGTCACAGTGTTGACTTCACTGTCAAGGTAAAAAAATAAATAATAAAACCTCACAGTGTCGTCAAATTTGGTCAAATTTATGTCTCAACAAATCATCAAATCAAAACGAACAATTTCGACCAAATTCTACCGACAACTCAAAACATAAAATGATCAAAACCCTGGAACAGGTTTTTATCACCGTCATCGTTTTTATTATTTTTAAAAAACACCTCGACCTTATTTTACTTTTTAAATCTAACGAGGTGTAAATGGACGAACGACGACTTCTCTACTTCATAACATTTGTTTTATTCTTTTGTTTTTCTTGTAACGATGATGATGTCATCGACGTAGATTACGAACGACGACTTCTCTACTTCATAACGTTTGTTTTATTCTTTTGTTTTTTTCTTGTAACGATGATGATGATGTCATCGACATAGATATTAACATTAAACAATGACACACTGGTGTCGGGGGTTTCCATGAGGTAAGAAACCGTTTCCAAATAACATCAACATGTGGTTTCCATCGGATTTAACTGCTGTACGATTATTAAAAAAGACGGTTTGATTCTGTGAAATGACTTAACGAGAGTCACATGGGAGGACGGAGAGGACGGAGACCGACCTGTCTGTCCATCCCGCGACGACAAACAGAATCAATGTAAATATTTAGCGTGTATTCAGCCCTGACGGCCGTGACAGTGGTCGGATGAGAACATTAACAAATCTGAGAGTTTTCAGGGATTTTAGGAGCTAAAAGTCTCTGAGTTGACATGGACCTGGGTTCAGCTACACACAGAATATGACGGAGAGTTTTTTGTTTTGTTTTTTTTAATTACCTGCATCCACGTCGTTGGGCCAGCCGCTGGACTGAGAGCTGCTGCCAGCCGCGGGGGAGCGGCCTGAGTAGAAGACATCGTCCACCGGGCTCTCCATCTCACTGTCGTCAATGGACTTACGCTTGTTAGAGCTGAGAGACGGAGACAAGAGGAGACGGGCTGCTGAGTTCCTATTGGTGGAGGTTCAAACTGCATGTTGACGTCTGGTGTTCATTGATAAGAACGTTTCACTCTGTAACGTGTTGGAAACATCTACACGTTTTTAAAATGATAGAATATCTTTAAATAAAGTGTGAACAGAGTTCATATGTCGTTGATTTCAGTTGTGTTTTCTATTGAAGTCTTTATGGTTTTGTGTAGACGGTGCCCTCCTGTGGCCACATTTGGTACAGGGTATGTTTTTTTTATCTATAAGTTGCTCCAGAATATAAGTGAAAAGTACAGGGTATGTTTTTTTTATCTATAAATTGCTCCAGAATATAAGTGATCAATTAAAAAGTCAGATTTTTAGTCCAGTAAAATACAGTACATGCACTTCAGACACTACCTCTTGTGGTGATTCTGAAGTACTGCAATTGTAAAGGATTTAAAAAAAATTTAATTATGATGTTTAAAATAATAAAAAAGCCACTCTTTGTTCTCTACTGAATACATTTCTGTAAATCATTCTACTTTTACCATAAAGTTCCTCAGTGTGGCGCCAAATCAACCTGAAGTTGTATCAGTAAAAGGAGGTGTAACAGATTAAAACGTGGAAAAAAAAAATCTCCCTTTGTCTTTTTTTTTTTTTTTTTGAGGAATTCTATTATTGTTTTATTTTCTTGACTTGAGTTTTTAGCCAAACGGCCAGAACCACAAACAGAAACACACGTTTCTCCAATGTTCTGTGTCCAAACTGCACTGAAGGATCATTGTGCTGCAGAAGGAGAACACATTCCTGCGTGCACTCTCCCATTCTTATACACTCCGACATCTGTGAGCAATAAAACAGAAAGCGGCCGGCGAACGTACGGCGATGCTGGATGTTTAAATAAATGCATATCTGTGTGACAGCATGCGTGTGTGTGGCTTCAGTGTAACGTGTAGCGATGCAGTGGCGTCTGTGTTGCATTAGCATCAGGAGATATTCAGCGCTGTCGTGTAACTACCTCCGTGGGAGACTGGCATAAAGCTCCATTTCAGTCCTGCAGCGTAAGATGAGCGGGAGAGATCGAGAACGAGAGGGAGAGCGAGAGGGAAATAAAAAAAACAATACAGACAAAATACACCAACAGTGTGACGGACAGATCAGTGGGGGGGAGGAGGGGGGAGAGGGGGAGACGTGGTGAAGTAGATTAATGGTGAATACAGTTGAGTGTGAGGATGCAGGGGAGAGAAAGGGGGAGAAAAAGAGACAACAGTCAAAAAGCAGGGAGGAGGTCAGAGGTCAGAAGGTCAAGTCATGAAGAACATTAGTACGTGTTCTGATTGGCTGTCAGGGTGCACGTGCACTGGTCTACCTGGTGGACGGGGTGGAGGTGATGGAGCGCCGTCCCAGGGTCACCTGGTTGATGTTGTAGTATCCGGGGCTGTCCAGGTCGGCCAGGGAGAAGTTGGGGCCGGTAGCCGTAGCCACCGGAGCTAAGGTGCAAACAAAGAAAAAGACGGAGACGAATATTAGCTGACGTGTTTGGACAATGAAAAAAAAAAAAGAAAAAGTTCTAAAAACCTAGAGAAACACCTTGTTGGATTTATTATGAAGTTATTACGATGTTTTAGTGTCTGTTAGCATCAAGCACGCAGCTCCACTGCCTCGACTATAGGGGGAGCTAAGTACACCTGTAATGTTTGACCTGCGATCAGTGATGACTGATGTTCTACGTCTTTTAACTTTCCGAGCAAATCTGTATCCTGTGAGTTGCAATGCTGCCACCTACTGGGCTTATCTTACACTAATAGATATGAAGGAAGGGAGAAAAATACAAAAAAATAAGAAGGTAAAAACTTGTTCACAGGACCAAATTTAAGTCAAAAAACCGCAGCTAACATCAACAATAAAACCTATACCATACATGTGATCGTGTATTTGTAGTAAAACGTAGTGAAATAAAGACAGAAAATATAAAGTGACTGTGAATATTTTCTGGTTTCGTTGACAATAAACAGAATATTTGTGGTTTGTGGACAAGACAAAACCATTCAGGGACAGTGTCACTCTGAGGTTTTGTTGGGGGGGGGGCGCTCATGAAGACAACAATGAACAGATTAATTTGATCCAGTTTAACAAGAAAATGACATTTGTGGTGGTTACTCACTCTGGGACACACGGACCAGCTCGGCCACGTTCCACACCCCCGAAGTCACAAAGCAGTCCTGGAAACTCAAGTGGCCTGAGAGAGAGATCAAATCGTGGGTCAGGTTACGGGTGTGTGTACACACACACACACACACACACACACAATACACACGTTGGACAACATGTGTTTTCAGGGACAGAACCGATCTGAGGTTTGGACCCGTCCGTGCCGTTCACTCAGACTCAGACTGACAAATGTGTGGAAACAGGCAGAAAAACGTCCACGTGGAGACGTCCACCTGACACTGTGCAATGCATTATGGTCCCTCTGTGTGCACTTTCTGTGATTACATCCCCAGACTACTATTTGTCTTTAATCCTTGAAGGGAAAAAATATAAAAAATAATTCCCTGATCAGAACGAACAGTGGAAAACTGAGTGAGTTCTCACTGTCAATAGAACTAAGTTTTAGTCAAAGGAAGATCGTAATTATTTCGTTAACGTAGAGTCTTGTTCTCACTAACGTCAGGACTGAAATAGTTCCACCAGACATGTTCCAGTCACTAATTAACCATTTATTGTTTATTCTACTGCTGTGTCTCCATCAAAGGTCCCGCCCCCTAGCTAACACGCAGAGCTCTGATTGGCTCTCGCCCTCATTAGTTCACATGATGAGATCAGCTCTGATTGGACTTCTGTCCCTGCCAGAGTTAGTTGTCGTTGACGTTTAGCGCCACCTGACTTCCTGTTTAGTTAAGGTTACAAATCGATGTTACACTAATCTGACGACAGTGAGACGTGTGTGTGTGTGTGTGTGTGTGTGT